GGGGTAGGGTCCTTTTTTTCTTTAAGAAAAGGAGAATCGACGCGGTGTTGTTAATGTAGTAAAACCCATGCGGCACAACATGTGCGGTGCAACCTGTATGTGCGTAGTACGTTGTGCACCTTATGTGGTGCAATATACTTTGTGCGCAATCGGTGTGGCGCAATCGATGTGGTGCACTTGATTTAAACAAAAGACTTGACACATCCCACGCTCTTGCGAATATCCCACCCACCCACCCGCAACTTGGTTTGCAAAACCCACGCGGTGGCGATTGCAATGCATGCTTGGCACAGGCTGGTGCATCTCTGCGGCCGCGCCAACTTTAGCACGCGCGCGCAGCGGCCAGCTAGTTTGGCGCCACCGACGCGGCCGCAAAAGCGCTGACCGCTGAGCATATCCCAACAGGCACTTCACCGCGACTCGGCGACTTGGGCGGGCGCGGTATCAAGGCAACGTCGGCAACGGTAGACACGATGATGCTGATGATGATGGTGGTAGTAGCGATGCTGGCGACGATGCTGACACCGACGACGGGGCGGCCAGTGCGGGCGCCAATGCTGATCACGCCGACGACGATGACGGCGTTTTCGCGTCGGTAATGAAGGTTTTGGAAAACATATCGACATCCGCGCGGCCGACGCGCGAGAATGATCCGCATGTTTTTATCCGACACGGATCGTGCCCCTCCCCAACACGCGCGCAAGGGCATGCGAATGATGTCGGCATGCGGCGCCAAAAGGCAATTTGGCAGAATTCCGTGCAAACTCGCATGGCTTTATTAAGAATGCGCATGAACGCGCGCGCACGTTTTTGGGGGAACTGATGTTGCGATTCTATGTGTTGTCGTATTTGTTTTTGGACATTCAGGTTTGGAATCGCTACAAAACCGCAGGTATTTGTTTTACGGATTTCCGCAGCGCGCGCGTGCACTTCGTTCAATTTCTTGCAGCAGTGACTTTCGCGACTGCACGCGCGCAAGGGCGTTCGAATGATTTCGACACGCGCGCTCGCGAAACCCGTTTGGTAGCACGTCCTGAAGATGGAAAATGTTGAACAACCTATGGTTAAGAATTCGCATAAGCGCGCGCGCACGTTTTCTTTGAACATCCGTGTTGCGATTATACGTGTTTTGTATGATGTTTGGGCACCTGGTTTTGAAATCGTTACAGAACCGATGGTTTTGAAGGGTTTTGGCATGCGCGCGCGACGACGCGCGCGTGCGCATTTCGTCCCATTTGTTGCAAGGGGTTCTTGAGCACTTGTGATGTTAGGTCAATGCATGCGCGCGCGTAATATTTTTGGAAGATGATGACGGGGAGGGCTGCTACTGCCCTGACTGGGCTGGTACGAGTGCATATTTCGGATGGACGATGGGGCAAAATCATACATGCATTGCAATAAGGAAAAGGGTGTCGATAATCCCGGAGGAGGGATAGAGTCTATTTTTCTAGAAGAGAAAATTCACCAATGCTCAAAGTGAAATTGTCGACGCCACTGCACGCGCAATCATCCAAGCCACCCGCCCGCAACTTGGTTCGCAAAACCCATGCGGAAGCGATTGCGATAAGTGCTTGGTGTTGGCTGGTGCATCTCTGCGGCCGCGGTGGCGCTGACCACTGGGCACATCCTGGTGGCCACTTCAGTGCGAGTCAGCAAATTGAGCGGGCGCGGTATCAGGGCAACATCGACAACAGTGTACTAGGTGATGATAGTAGCGATGCTGGTGGCGATGCTGACAACGACGACGGCACGGTCAGTAACGGCGCCGATGCTGATCACGCCGATGACGATGACGCGTCTTCGCGTCGGTGATCAAGGTTTTGGAAAGAATTCGACACGCGCGCGCGGCCAACGCGCGGGAGTAGCCCGCATGGTATTATTTGAAACGGATCGTGCCCCCCAGCACGCGCGCAAGGGCGTTCGAATGATGTCGGCATGCGGCGCGAGAGGCCCGTCTGGCAGAATTCAATTCAAATGTTGATAACGCATGGCCTTCTGAAGAATTTGCAACAGAAAATGGGAGCGCAACCTGCTTTTGAAAATCCTTCTTTCGAAGCCATGCGTTTTTGTATGTGTTCTGGAAACTCGATTTAGAAACCTTTGCGGAACCGATGGTTTGTCTTAAAGGATGTCGGCATGCGCGCGCGACGACGCGCTCGAGCGCGCACTTCGTCCCAACTGTTGCAAGGGATCCTTGAGGAATTAAGATCTGTGATGGACGAATGTGCGCGCATTGTGATGTTGCTAAGGATGGTGGGGGGGGTCGATACCAGCCAAGCTGGGATGGCATGAGTTCATATTTAGGATGGACGATGGGGCATAATCATATGTGAATTACGATACGAAAGGGGGTGCGGATAATCCGGGGGCGGAGGTAGATCCTCATTCTTTAAAGAAATTGAAAGTTTACGTGGTGCAATATATGAGGTGCAAACTACGTTGTGCAATTCAGGCGGCAACGGGGCGGCGACGGCGACAACATAGCCGCCAGACCCACACA